AGGGATGGTATGAGTTGGAAGGATAGGGATGGTATGAGTTGGGAAGGATAAGGATGCTATGAGTTGTGAAGGATAAGGATGTTTAAGTTGTGATGACAGACAATGGGACAGCATTGGAGACGCTTGCATTCGCCCACTGGCCTTCTTGTGCTCGTGCAGCGAAAGGCTCTGCTTTGAGTATTTTGGCGGAACGTACACACATCACACACGATGAGTTACCATGTGCACTTGACAAGCAACATCACACACGATGAGCTACTATGTGCACTTGACAAGCAGAGCATACACGATGAGTTACTATGTTCACTTGACAAGCAAAGCACAAACTCAGACACGCAGCAGACGTACAGAAGCTCACACAACCAATCACATAATAACACACACCAACACAAGTACGCCCACACACATCCAGAGACACGCCGACACACGCACATCACACGCGATGAGTTACTATGTGCACTTGACAAGCAGAGCACACACTCAGACACGCAGCAGATGTACAGAAGCTCACACAACCAATCACATAATAACACACACCAACACAAGTACGCCCACACACATCCAGAGACACGCCGACACACACACATCACACGCGATGAGTTACTATGTCCACTTGACAGGCAAAGCACACACTCAGACACGCAGCAGATGTACAGAAATTGGCACAACCAATCACACAACAACACACACCAACACAGGTACGCCCACACACATCCAGAGACACGTCGACACACACACGAGTTCAAACACACGCACACGCACGCGCGCAAACGCAACTTCTGGTGACCTTCCAGCGAAACACTCCTCTCATTGGTACACTCAGACAGGCTGCTCTCTCGGGTAGCTGCGTAGAACGTGCACACCACCCGCTCAAGGTATTAATGGCACACTCACCAGGCACTCACCAGGAGACCCATGAAGCGAACCTGTAGCAACACACACACACACACAAACACACGCACACACACGCACACACGCACACACACGCATACAACCACGCACACACAAGCACACTCTCTAAACAAGCTCTCTCACACACAACACACACACACACACTCTCTCTCTCTCTCTCTCTCACTCACTCACTCACTCACTCACTTACTCACACACACCTTCTGGTTATCGTCCAGCGTAACACTCTCCTGGAGTAACTGTGCGGAACGTGTACACCACACACTGGAGGTGTCAGCAAAGGCACGCAACAGCGCAGTAGAGACAGCCTTCTCTCCCTCAGCCACAGAGACATCACTCTCAGCCACCATCACATCACCCAAGATGGACAGGACTTTAATCTGGTCACTCCGTTTGGCGTGGGGATGGGCCAGGATGCTCTGAGGTAGTAGGGTTTAGTGTTTTTAGAGTTTAGGGTTTTTAGGGTTTAGGACAATGGATGGAAAGGAAAGGGAGTCTTACAGATATATACACACACACGCACACACACACATATATATATATATATATATGTATGTATATATATATTCGTATATGAATCTTGGTGTGTCGATGTGTGTCCACTATCGACTCTGATTTTTCAACAAGCCATACATATACACACACTCTCGACCGCAAAGGAATACACCGCTTGTGTCTTACCTGTAGCATGGCCATATGGTCCCGACTTAGTACGAGCTTTCTATACGCTTCGGGATAGTAACTAACAAGCGATGACAGAGCATAGAGGCCGTTGTGTATCTCTAGATTTCCCTCGTGCACGCGTGTTGATCCTGTGTCGTCTGCGGTGATGTCCGAGTGCGTGTTGCTGGGCGTGTGTGTGTCGGTGCTTGTATCTAAAGTCGCCACCACCTATAAGAGACGTGGAGAGAGAAGAAGAAGGGCAC